GGCTCCTGTTAGGAGTTCTCTCTGTCTCACAGAGGGGTCGTGTGTGATTTGTGATGTGTATTTTCTTCTTTGAGGAGAAGAACTGGCTCCCAGAGATATTCCACATAGTGGCTTTGTGCCTCCATCCAAAGAGAAGAGCTACCTGACAAGCAGCTGTAAAAGAGTAAGGACAACCCTTTTTCTTCCATCTTTTTTAGCATTTGTTTATCAGTATTAAAAAGAAGCCCTTGTATTGGTACAATTCATAGAAGTATGGAATAATTCCCCTTCCTTTCCTTAGAAACAAAGAGGTGCTTAAAGTTCATGGTGACACAGGAATCACCATGGGCACAGGTGAGATCAGCACCTGTGGTGCTGTTTCACTGATGCCCACAAGCAGGCCTGTGGATTTTTCAGTCCTTGCTGTACCTGATGAGAGAGATGATTTAAAATGACAGGTAGCATAAGGCCAGTCTGTGCCTAGTTTATAAAAGAGAACCAGGTTAAAGAGTTATTTTACAGCACTGGGAGTGTTTGAGGGTAGGAACTAGGGATGCAGCTGCACCATTCTGCTTCAATGCCCAGGCTATCTGAGAGAAAACTGGCTGCAGCCCAGGGGAGACAGAGCTGCCTGGTGCTTCCTCCAGGCTCACACAACCAGCTACTTTGGGTGTTTTTCTCCCTGTGACCTTCCTCTGCACGCCGTGCCTTGCAGTGGGAGAGAGAATTCTTGCAAGAACTGGCTGACTCACTCTAAACTCTCCCATCTGCCATGAAAACCTTGGAGTGCTGTGAGGTCCACGGAGGGTGAGCACTTTATTGCTATCAATGTGAACTTTTTCAGAGGTTTAGTACAGAAAATCTTCACTTGTAGAAACACATATCAGGGGATACAACTTGAAAATCAGTGTGCTCTGTATGGTGTCTATGTGAAGAATGCACATTTGAAGTGCATATAAAAAAACCCTCCTTCATCTTCAAACATGGGTCATCCATTTTGCCTGATGAAACTTGGTGTCTTTGGTTTGTTAATAAATAATCACACCATAAAAACTAGTGGCTTTTGATGCCAGGTAAATTTTGGTGCCTTGAGCAAGCACTTTCAGACTCTGCTAATAGGATTAAGAGTCTTCTAAAAGGAGACAGTTCTGTCAGGTGGGAATCTACTAAACTTGAGTGTCCCAGCTCCTTGTTATGGAAACTTTTGGTAGTCTTTGGGTGTATTAAAAAAAAAAATCCTTGGCAGGAAAAAACATCTTGTTCTATAAGCTTCTGAGTTTATTAAACCAGAGGCCTTTAGCAATACAGAAACTGTTTTGTTGGAACTCACCTGCTCCCAGCAAAACCAGTATGGTGATTTTTCATATTTAGTTGGATGCCATGATAGTTTTGCCGAGCAAATCATAGAATCATAGAATCCTTTAGGTTGGAAGGGACCTCCAAGATCATCAAGTCCAGCCATTGAGCCATTAGGGCTCTAAAGTCCTCTGCTAAAACAGATCAGAATCTGTCAGGGTTGGAAGGGACCACAAGGATCCCCCAGTTCCAACCCCTCTGCCATGAGCAGGGACACCTCCCACTAGATCAGGCTGCCCAGAGCCTCCTCCAGCCTGGCCTTAAAGACCCCCAGGGATGAAGTGTTGCTGAAGAATTGGATCCACACTGGGAGAGATTTGTGCTTTATATGAGCACAGATCAAGCATAATCCTGGAGACAGAGCAAATACATCCAGTGATGGTCACACATCCAGCCACCCATGCTGAAGACCCTTGTCACCCCTGTGGAGTCCAGTCTGACTGGCCTCCTCCATAGGACAGAGTGTTCTGGTGTATTCTCCAGGAGAAGCCATGCCTGCTTGGAGCTGTCTTCAGACCAGGCTGCTTGCTTTGCACAGAGAATGGTGCAGCCAGGAGGTTTCTGGCTTTGTTTGATTTCCCCATTCCTGACTGATAATTTTAGCATCAGCAAAAAGCTGTTCTGGGCTTGCTGCCTGGAACGTAGCATCAGGAGTCTGTGTTTGCAGGCTTCCTGAGCCCCTGTCTTCCAGGTATCCTACCTGCCAAGAATAAGAAAGCAAGAAACATCAGATTAGTTTCCAGACTGAGCTTCCTGTCTTCCCCTTGGAGAGCAGTCCAGTGCCCTGCCACGACGTGCAGCTTTCTCTAGCCCACCTAAGGAGGCCTGGAAGGAGTGTGTGAGGCTGTTCTGGTGCTAATGGCTGTTAGCTGCCAGCAAACACATGCTGGAGCAAGTAGAAAGGTTGGGTTTCCACAGTCCACTGCTGATGTAGAAACCTGCTAATAAAATAAAGAGCTGTGTTGTTCCAGATGGAACTGCAGCTCGTGCAGATGTTCACTGGAATAAAACTTGCAGTTCCTCAACTCTGCAGCGGGTTTGAAAAGCACAAGGTCAGTGGTTAGTGTGTGAACTGTGAACTGGTTTCCACTTGCAGTCAGACAGCTTCTCAGCCATGAGCTGAGGGTATTTCAGTCTTCTCTGAAGCACTGGCCACCTCCAGAGCCACAACACTTACCTAGGAAGATCTGAGTCCTGTGCTGGGAGCAGTTCCAGAGCAGAAGCAGAGCGTTCATCAGAGCTCTCTTTGGCAGCATGCCCCAGGCCTGACCTTACCATCACCAGGAACCAGGCACAGGTAGCTCAGTCAACAAGCCCTCCCCAAAATTTCAGCAAGGGGTTCTAGGATGTTACTAGAAACCATGTTTCTTTTGTCTAATTGAGTATGGAAGTTCCTCTGAACTGGACACCTCCATTAGTTTTATTCTCTGTGGGCCCCCTGCTGCAGAGCTGCACTTCTGATGTGGTTGTCAGTGCCAGATAGGGAACAGGAGAAGAACTGCTTATTACCCCATCCCTGAGTCATCCTCTTCCCTCTTACTCTAATTATAGTGAATTGAGTTCAAGTCCATCAAAGTGGAAATTATGGTTTCCTAAAACTGTGGTGGAAGGCAGTCGATCAGGAGGCCAGCAGCAGGCAGTGGCTAGACCACATCAGGAAATGGTGTGGTGAAGATCTGAGGGTGATAATGTGCTGTAACACAAGGCAGAACAAGGACAGCAGAGCACAACACCACTGCCCTTTCTTCACAGTTGCCAGACCGTGGAAACAGTGAAGGAAAACACAGCCAGAAATGTCTGTTAGATTTGTCTGCTTATTTGTCATATGGAAGACCTGAAGTTGATAAATGCTGGTGATTATCTTCAGGAGGCAAAGGCAGTGTGTGCAGACTGGGGCCCATGGTACAACAGAGCTGGTAAACTGGGTTATTCCCATCTCACTCTTCAGGGAAATGCTTGACAGCTGTAACGTGACTTGTGTCTCTGTGTTCCTTTGTGTTGTAGTCCTCTCTCAGGTTGCTGGCTGAAGATTTCAGTGCCATGGTCAACAACCCACACTTAAGTGATGTCCAGTTCCAGGTGGACTCTGGAGAAGTCTTTTATGCCCACATGTTTGTGTTGTATGCACGGTGTCCACAGGCTCTTCAGGTTGTAAGTACTGCTGAGGTACCTCCCTCCTCAGCTTCAGAAAAGCTGCACTCAACTGTGCTTTTGGCAAGGCTAGTGAAGGGGTTCTTATGTTCCCAGAAGTGTTTTGGGTGGAATAGTTCCCAGCCTGCTCCTACACAGCCTCCTGTCAGGACAGTGGAAGGTGCTGAGCCTGACATTTCCTCTGCTCTTTCAGAGAGCTGCCACCAGGCCACACAGACAGCTCCCTGACGAAGGAGCCCTCTGGGAACCTTTAGTTTTATCCTCATCACATTGGCAGTTGTTTCCACCCAAGGTGACTCAGGCCATTTCTCAGGGGTCCATGGAGTTTGGGGAGGGGAAGCAAGTTCATATATGCCATATACTAAGCAAGCTTAATGTGAATTTTTTAAGGGATCTTTGCAACAATTGGCAAACCTGCGTGTGCCCCCAAATCAAAAGACTTAAAAAAAAACTATTGGTTTAGCCATTTGCTCTTATTTCAATCCCTACAACTCTTGCCTGGCTTCAGTGTCCCCATCTGCTGTTTTCATGGGCAGGACTTATTAGTGTGGGCAGAGCTGTGGGATTGACCCTATATTGTATTTCTGATGCCTGCAGAGGGTCGTTTTCCTGCAAGTGGCCACCTGCAGAGCAGCATTTCACCTTTATTTTCCTTATAGGTGAGGGAGTGCTCTTCCTCGTTGAAGATTTTGGGTTACAAGGAGACAGTAATTAGAGATGACTTCAGAGCTCCTGTTTTCTGTTGCCTGGCATCCCCTAACTTTGAAGGGAGTTTCAGGTAGCACAATATGTGATGTGGCTGCAAAGGAAGTGAGACCTTACTGAACTAGAGATGCATTTTTGCCAAAAGCTGAGGTCAGGTTGGACCCACAAAGATAATGGTCCAGTTCAATGTAGCAGTATTTCAATATTTGTCTCTTTTCCTGTGAGACACCAGGAGAACTAGAGTTTTGGCAGCACATCAAGGGTAGGTAAATCCAAACAAGATCAGAGGAAGCTCAATGTAGAGGGGTGTACATAACTCTGGAAACTGTGCTCTGGGAAATAATTTGACTCCCAAATTAAGACCATCTTTTATATGTGTTACTAAACCAAGTAGTTGAATGTTATTGAAGCTGACAGCTGTAGGGTCAGGAAGGAAATGGCCTGTTCCATGTGGATCTCTGCATAACTGGTCATCTTGGCTTCCCTCAGAGCCATCAGTGGTCTCCTGGGGTGCATGAGGAAGAGTGTGGCCAGGTTGAGGAAGGTTCTCCTCCCCCTTTGCTCTGCCCTAGAGAGGCCACCTCTGGTCCAGTTCTGGGCTCCCCAGTTCAAGAGTGACAGGGAACTACTGGAGAGAGTCCAGTGGAGGCTACAGAGCTGCTGAGGGGCTGGAACATCTCTGTGCCAGGACAGGCGGAGAGCCCTGGGGCTGTGCAGCTGGAGAAGCCTCAGAGGGGATCTGATCAGTGCTGAGCAAGAGCTAAAGGGCCCCAGGGGGCAAGAGGCTGGGGCCAGACTCTGGTCAGTGGTGCCCAGGGACAGGACAAGGGGCAACGGGCACCAACTGGAACCCAGGAGGTGCCACCTGAGCAGGAGGAGAAACTTCTTTGGTGTGAGGGTGCAGAGCCTGGAGCAGCTGCCCAGAGAGGCTGTGGAGTCTCCTGCTCTGGAGAGATCCCAAACCTGCCTGGCTGTGACCCTGGGCACCCTGCTGTGGGTGAGCTGCTGGAGCAGGGGGTGGGATGAGATCTCCAGAGGTCCCTTCCCACCCCCCCTGCTGGGACGCTGCGCTCAGGCCCCGGGCCCAGGGTGAGACTCTGGCTCGTGGCGGGAGCAGGCTGGTGGGGGTGGGAGCAGGCTGGCGGGAGCAGCCCAGGGGTGCCCGTTCCTTGCCCAGCAGACAGACTCTTGCCTTCCCCCAGGTTGCCAGCGAGGGGTTCG